TGACTAAATATTTTTAAAGAAACTCAGCAGCAGTTATAATGATCTCGGGACACCCTTGACACAACCTGCGGGCAGACTTTGTAGTCTTACTATTCCTTCTTGTCATCTTCTGCTTCACACATTCCTCCAGTCCGAATCAAGATCTACTAAGAATATAGTAGATACTGACTGAATGATCCACTACTTCAGTATCTCTAAAACTGTCCCTGGGGTTACTGAAAATAAAATATTGCTTCTTTGCTAGTTCCTACGCTTGCTGATAAATCCCAGCTAAGCGCAGCAATGCACAGCAAGCCTTGGGATGCTTGAGGCATTCTCTAAACCAGGAGCTGCAAGGGCTTAACAAGGTCACACAGATACTCCTGAACAATTTGACAAACCCTCCCAGCCCAGCAAGTTTAGATCATTTTTCCTTCAGAGCCACTCAAAAGGTATGTTTATTTTCTTCTGGTGAGCATGCAAAAAATCCTAAGTCAGCCTCCAGAATCTCAAACAACTGCCTTAAAATTTTTGTCTGTTTAAAAATAAGAAATTTGGGGTGTGTACTCTTTGCTGTCTCAGTCCATAGGGAGTTAAACAACATCTATGCTTTCAAACATTTGCCATGTTCTGGAAAGTTGTTGGTTTTAACCAAAAAAAACTTTTTTTTCCCCCTGAAACTTCCTGCTCCAAATCTGGACCTTCCAGAAAAAGGACTATGACAATATCTGACAAAAATTCACATCATACCACGTCAGATTCAAAATAAGGTAGTCAGTACCTAAATGACCTAGTGACCGTGTATATCCTCATCTCTAGCAGGAACAATTAAGCAAAGATACCTATTTTCTGACAAGATCTAGAGTTTACTAGGGTGATGCGGTTCGGTACCCCATGATCTGTCTGTTCTGGCTCTAGCTGGAGAGTTCCCACACACATCAACACCTCCTGCTGCCATGACATTCAGTAACCTATAGGACAGAAGTCTCAGATTGAAGTGCTCTTATGGCATCCCCACAATAAATACCATGCTGCTCAGAACGGTGGACAGGCCTTGCGAATGTCTCCAGGATCATACGCAACTACACAGCAGGATAATGTCACTACAAGATAAAAATTACCGTAGAGTGCAGAACAACAGCAGTGTTTTAAACACGGTCCCACATCAATTTGTACCAGCAACACACTGCAACATAACAGCAATGTTTTATTGCCTTAAGGCATGCAGTTCACCTTAACACCTCTGAGTGCTGTGTATTTGTTTTCCACAAAAACATGCTGCATGGCTTCAGAAGTCTGTTATTTTGGCATCATCAGCATCACTCTCTGTCTCGCACCCTGAAGTTTGTCTAGTGAATGAGACACATTGTCTTGATACACTGCCGTGTTTTTTTTTTCACTGCTGTCAAGTGGATGGACATGAGGCATGGCCTACGGCCTCTCTTTTTCCCTCCAGAGATGCCAGATGAAATGTCAGCTTTAAAACTAAACAAGCAGTAGCACTTGAGGCAGCAGCGAGGACAGAGGAAGCGTAAGGCTGACAGATGACAATGCTGAGGACAAACTAGACAGTAAGTGGGACAAAAAAAACTTTCAAAAAACCTTTTTGTAAATACTAAGCCAACAATTTTTTCAAAGCTGCAGAGAAATAGGTGACCACAGAGCTTTGAGAGAAGCAGGCTAGTAACAAACAAGATCAGCTTATTAGCTAATCCATGGATCTCAACAGCTCTGATCCGTGCACAAGCCGTTGCAGGGACTTCAATGTTACTGTAGGGTTTAAAGTTGCCATCCACCAGCTCAGCCACAGCAACTGCCAGGCAGCCGCAGAGGAAGACACGCTGGCTTAGCTCTGCGCCACAGGGCTAACCCCACCTGCAGGGCTTCACATTTGCATTTACCACAGATCAGCCACTGTAAACCCATCGTGACTTGGGTGTCTACGTCCTGACAGGCTAACTAAGCTGTGGTCCACAGCCATAGGTTCCACCTCTATATGACGAAATAATTGCATTAATAGTACGAGCCACCACAATGCCACAAAACGTTTTGTTAATACAATAGGCGCTGACTTAAGTAGTCACAAGTCAGCACAAGGATAGTAATTACATTATCACAAACCCATTCTTTAGGGACGTCTATAATAGCTGTTCCACTATTCACAATACCCAGTGCACATGGCAAAAGATGGAAAAATCATGTTAGGAACCTTTACGTGGGAAAAATCACAACTAATTGTAAATTAATTAAACTAACTACCTCTGAGGTAGTGATGTACATACCTAGAGCCTCTTTACAATGAATGAAGGAATGAAGAGATGAAGCCATGCTTGGTGCCTGGCTCGTCTCATCCTAAACTAGACACATAAACAGGTCAGAGGTCTACAGAGGGAGCCATGGGAAGTATTTCAGGTGAAAGTATCTGCTACACAGGCATCTGAGGGCACATTACAGCAATACTAATGCCTGCATGTCTCTGTTTTCTGTGATGAACATGAAAGCTAAGCACAATACAGTTACTAATACCACCATAACACAGATGAGAAATGAAAGATTTCAGATTTGTATTGGAAATTTATCTAAAGGATGCCGCTGCCTACATAATGGGAGGGAATGTTGTGCCTTTATCCAAATCCACTTCTCAGCTCTTCTAAGCTCAGATAGCACCATTTGATTTCAATGCAGCAAGAAACACATCACTTAGGGGTCTGGATTACTGTTTGGTTTGCAAAGGTCTCAGAGCTACAGTTTCTGAGGTTTCTTCTCTCTTCCCTACTTTTTCTATCCTACGTTTTTCATGGTTCAAATCATTGCTTTAAAAAGAAAATAACAGTATGGCCTGAAAATCTACTAAATACCTGCTCCTATGCAAAAAAATTATTTCTAGAGTGACTGCCTTTTTCAGAAGCCGCTTCTTGCGGCTTCTTCTATTGGATATCTAAAATGATATGCACTGGGATATAGGCAATAAATGACTTTCCATTAACAGCAACTTCTCATCAGGAGTTGACAATTCTATTACCCCTTACCTTTTCTCTTGACATGCAGTTGCTTTCCCAACCTACAAAACAAAGTCACTAAGGCCACGAGGTATTCTATTAAATTTGCAAAACATAAGACTGAGTGTCAGAGACTTGACCCGAAACATGACTTGCAGAATTGGTTTGCCAGCAGAGTGTATCCCCCCTCAAGTCCTTACAGCTAGTGGCAGAAAATTGTTCCTTCACCACATCTCCCAGGTGCAGGCAGCAGAAGCTGAAGCCAGCGAGAGAAGAAATGTCTCAAACTAACCGGTTCTTCTCTGCATTTCACAGCATATCTGCACTCTTTTTGCATCCTTTTAATTTAGGCTTGTAATTGAGTTCTCTGAAATAAATTGTTAAGTCTTCTTGGTGTCAGGCATAAACTGTCAGGAATGTGAAAATGTGATACAAGATAGAATTTGAATAAATAGCATAAAGGCTGAGAGAATACATCGTGAGAAGAGCTCAAATGACAGTATGTCGCATAAAAACACCTCCAGCCCAATATCCTGTCTGCAGAAGCGGCCATTAGAGCACACTTAAGAAAGATTATAAGGAACATGGCAAATATAATAATCCTGCCTCAAACAGTCAGCGGATTAGAGACCATTAATTGTCACAGGGCTTAAGGGACCGAGTGAGAACAGGGTTTCATGGTACAGATGCGGCATAAAGGGTTAGGTACACCGCCTGCTTCTCGACAGCACATTTGACCCTGGGAGAGATATCCCTGTTTAGCAAAATTAATACAACAAATGGTCTCTGTAATGCGACAGTGTCCTGAATCTCATACAGTCCTACCTAGGCAGACCTGCCTCTCAATGGAGAATATAGATACTGAGTTGGGAGAATAACATTTAAACGTTAATAGAGAGGAATTCATGCCACAGAGGCAATCAGAAAACTTCAAAGATGCCACTTCTTTCGGAAAATTCATTTAGCTAGTACTTCTCCACCTGACTTGTCCCAATAGCCTACTGTCCTCTCACAGGTAGGAATGATGCTTAACAGCAAAAGAGCCATCATACTGTGGCAGACCAAAGGCTAATTAGGCTCATAATCTGCCTCTGTCTGGCCAACTTCCTATACTTCAAGCAAGAACAGAAAATCAGGGTGATTATGGAGCATACGTGCATATGGCACTGCCCTCCCAACCTCTGCCTATTAAAGTTTCAGCGACTTCCACAGCCAAGCATGCAGCTGGACCAACACGCTCAACAGATATTCATGGACTTATTCTCCCTGAATTGGTCTAATCCCTTTTAGGGCAACAAGCTCATTTGACTCAGTTCCACAAACACACAAGCCAACACAAATTAACATGGAAAACATTTCTTCATAAGAAATGAACAAGATGGTGTTGTGTATTTGTCTTCCCTACAAGGAGATGCTATGCTAAGCAAGAAGAAAGTCAGCCCCCAAGGAATAATGACAACTATCACTTGAGTATACAACTGTCACAGGGAGCAGCAAATAATTACCATTCTCCTCTGCAGGGAATCCTGGCTTACACCCCTAGTCTGGAGGACATTCAAAGAGCAATGGAAGAACATAAAAGCAACCTGTAATCTCAGTGTACCATAGGCATTAATTAACCTGGCAGCCATCCAAACTGCTGGCATCAAAATCCGCTTATCTGGGAGCTGCACATTTCAGCATTTCTGCAGACACTACTACGCACAGAGGCACTGCACTGCACAGGGGCAGCAGGCTACCGAAAAATAAGAAAAAGAGGCAGAAACGGAGGAACGCTGAAAATTATTATATTGCAATCAGATCTGTTAGTAGTTGGAAAAACATGTTATCTGAAGAAATGTACATCTGAATAAAGCAGGGGTTGCATCAAGAAATGTAATAAAAACAGCTTTGGGAAAACAAGCATGAACGATCTCTAGTGAGAATACACCACAATCAAGGTACAATCGTGCTGAAGCCAGAAAGGGATAACAGTTCAAGTAAAGGTATTTGTCTCTGAAAATGAATTGTTTTTCTACGTACCTGTCCAGTCTCCTACTACTTTAAGGTGGACCCCAAACGTTGCTTTGGTATCTGTAGGGCACTAAAAATATTAAATATATTAAGGACCACTTCTGAGTAACAAGAAAATAACAAAACGCATTCAAAGTACAGTTGTTAAGACAGAAACTGGTGTAAATAGGTTACTCCTGAGCAGCCATACCAGCAGCTATACCCTTTAAAGAGCAAGTCTAGCATCACTACAGTTCAGGAAGCCAAGCATGGCTAGTCTCCACTCAGTCTTAACCCTTTCTTCTAGTCACAGAGGAGTTTGGGATGGGCTTGTCTGGGGGTGTGATTTGGAACAGCCACTTCGCTATGCATTACTCAGCAATGATACCAACTGAGGATACAACAGTAAAGAAATACTCCCTCTACTATTGACACATCATTCAAAATCAGGAACTGCCCCATTACTCCTAAATCAAGGCATTTAAGAGACTTCTGGTTCTTGAATGTCAGGGCACATGTTTTCAAGCTGATCATTCTCACACAACTGATGCTTTCTTCTAAATGGAAACTGAGATTTTGCTGCACTTGACAACAGCTTAGAGTTTGCAAAGGAAAAACACCAGATTGCATGGCACATCATAAAAATCACTTTGCAGCCACCATTCTCTCACACTGCACCTATGCCCTCACCTCGGGGCTACTTGCTTGTGACTATCAACACAGGAATGATATTATTTACAGTCTTATCCACACCATGGTATATAAAAACCTCCAGTCAAGCCATGTCAAAGGTCTAAGAGCCCCGTCAGTTTCGTTCCTTGTTAGCTACAAGGGAGATTTCAAATGCACTGTCTGGACAGCTTTTGCAGGTACACCAAATGATTTCACACATAAACAGGACAAGCAACTATTGCTCAAGAAAAGATTCTTCCCTTTTGTCACTTAAACCACGACAACTTTCCATCTATAAACCAACATCATTGGCTTCTTTTTGATAGAAGATATTACTACTGACTTTTGATGCCTTTCTTAGAACCTGTTAATGATTGATCCAACCTCCATCATGAATCCAACACCCAAGATGACATTTTTGTCACTTAAACCACGACAACTTTCCATCTATAAACCAACATCATTGGCTTCTTTTTGATAGAAGATATTACTACTGACTTTTGATGCCTTTCTTAGAACCTGTTAATGATTGATCCAACCTCCATCATGAATCCAACACCCAACAGATGACATTCCTGTCTTTTTTTTTTCTACTGCTACAGACAAATGTGAATTCTGAGGAGAGGGCTTAAGTTCAAGGAACACATCTATATTATAAACAAAAGAGACCCAGGTCCAAGCACCAAATAGTCAATCATCCACCACACTTGTGAGGACACTTCTTGGCTCTGTTCTGGACCATTGCCATTAGCGTTCCCAAGATAATCTGTTGTGCCGTGGGAAACCACTGGCCTCAGGGCTGAGGATCAGTTCCTAGCAGTTCCTTATTTAGCAGCAGACACAGATAAAACGTTAGTATTCTCTACATCTTGGCAAACCTAGAACAGGGAATACAGCGTCCTGGCTAGTCGCTCCATTTTCCTGAAGGGGAAAAGCATTCTTGTTAAGAGTACTGACTACTAGACAGACTCATGTTTAATTCCTTGTCATCTTTCAAGTTTTCCTATAAAAATTTGGTACAGAAATTTAGAGTCAGAGTTATTTCAGCAAGTCTTAGCCTTCAAAAAAATGGCATCAAAGGAGGGATGCAGGCAAGCCTCACACAACAAGGCCAGTATTTGCTGTGGCTAGCTGCAAAGTCTTCCAACAAAAATACCAAGACCAATTCTCCATATAAAAGTAGGTAAGCAGCCTCTCAGCTAGAAAGTTGTATACTGGCAGCAAAAAGTTCTGGTCTCCTTGGGCCTTCTGTAAGAGCCTTTAGCAGAGTTTATTTTTCAGTCTGGGCTGCCCCAGGGCTCTCTGTGTTTCACAGGAGGTTGAGTGATTTTCTTAGTCCAACTATGCACAGTCCCAGTTCAGCACATCTTCTATAAAATTGTCTGTCATTCTCTCCTTCCATGAAAGCTAATGGCAGAATACCCCTTGTCTCCAGCCAGATAGGTTCAAACCTGTTATCATTTACATTACCCTTGTGACTAACTCCTTTCTGCACTACTTTGAAAAATTATCTAATTAAAAAAAGATGTATTTCTCTTTAGACTTTAGGAAGCCTATTTTGATACCTGTAACGGGGTATGCGAGTTCCTCAGAGGGTTCTGGAAAAATCTTATCGTGCTGCTAAATCTTAGCAGAAGAAACACGCCCATCATCTAGGCTACACGGAGTGAATTTCCCCCAGTTCAAGAGAGAGAAAGATTGTAGATGGTCCAGTGAAGGGCCACCAAGACGATAAGAAGATTGGAGAACCTGACATACAAAGAGAAGTCAAAAAGGGAATGTGCTTGTGTAACCCACAGAAGAGAAGGTTCAGGGAGATCACTGTCTTCCAATACCTAAAAAATAGCTATAGAGAAGATGAAGGTGCTCTCTTCACCACCATGTATGGTGACAGGACAAGAGACCAGGAACACAAATCGCTTCAGAGGAAATTTCATCTGGATATAAGAAAAGCATTCTTCACCATGGAATAGGTAGCCAGAGAAATGGTGCGATTTCTCTTGCTAATTCAGCTTCACAGGTCCCTGGATAACCTAATCTACGGCCCTTGCACCAGAACATTGAACCAGATGATCTCCAGATCGTCTTCCCACTTAAGACTTTCCTATGGACCTGTATTTTTAACTTTGAAAATTGTTTTTACGTTTTTACTGCACAGAACACTTATTCTACATCTCTCATCTCTGTAAACAAAATTAAGTCTCCAAATTGTGTTTTTTTCCAGACTGTTAGAGAATATATTCCAGAAGCTTAAGAAAGTATTCAAAGACAGTTTTTCAGAAGTTTAATCGTGAAAGTGGGTAAACTTTCCCATGTTATTAACAGACCACTGGGCATGTGTAATGAAGTGCAATGAAAAAATCCTCTTATATATTTAGCCTTTTTCATGAAATCACAGAATTGTAGGATAGCTGAGACTAGAAAGCACCTCTGCAGACTGGTTACTTCAACCCTCCTGCTCAAGCAGGGTCCGTGAGAGCAGGTGGCCCAGGACAGTGTCCAGTTGCACTTTGAATGTCTCCAAAGATGGAGACTCCACAGACTCTCTGGGCAACCTGTGCCACCCTCACAGAAAAAGTGGGTTTTTTCTTATGTTCGGATGGAACCTCCTGTATTTCAGTTTGTGTTGTCCTGTCACTGGGTGCCACTGAGAAGAGTCTGGCTCTGTTTTCTTCACTCCTCCATCAGTTCCAGCTCCCTCAGCCTCTCCTCATATGAGAGATGCTCCAGTTCCTTAATCATCTTCATGGCCCTTTGTGCTCCAATATGTCCATGTCTCTCTTGTACTGGGGAGCTCAGAACTGAACACAGAGCTCCAGATGTATCTCACCAGTGCTGAGCAGAGGAGAAGGGTCACGTCCCTCGACCTGCTGGCAATGTTCTGCCTAATACAGCCCATGAGGCTGTTGGCCTTCTTTGTTACAAGGGCACATTGCTGGCTCATGGTCAACTTGGTGTCCACCAGGACCCCCGGTCATTCTCTGCTGAGATGCTTTCCAGCCAGTCAGTTCCCATCATGTACTAGTACCTGGGGTTATTCCTCATCAGAGGCAGGATTTGGCAATTCCTTTTCCTGATCTTCGTGAGGTTACTGTCAGCCCATTTTTCCAGCCTCTCAAGGTCCTTCAAATGGCAACACAACCACCTAGTGTACCAACCACTCTTCCCAGTTTTGTATCATTTGCAAACCAGTATTGACCCCTGAGGTACACCAATACTGACTGGCTTCCAGCTGGACTTCGTGCTACTGATCACAACCCTTTCAGCCCAGCAGTTCAGCCAGTTTTCCACCTACCTCCCTGCCCATTCATCTACTCCGCACTTCATCAATTTCTCTATGAGGATTTTATGAGAAACGGTGTCAAAAACCTTGTGAATTATGATGCTCTTGTCCATTTTACAAGTGTAAGTCTCTGATCACCTATTTTACTTTTAATTTGCCATATCTCATCTTTAAAACACTGCACAGCTAAACACTGCTTCAAGATCCTTATTACAGTCAGCTTATACACACATTTAAACTGACATCTATTTATGTTCTGTGAAGACAAGCACAAGCTGAAGCACCCTCTTGAATTGGAAATCAAGAGAATAAGCACATGAGCCTTGGTCAAATAAAGGCCTATCAAAGTGGCCTCAGCAATGCATGATGTCGTCTCTGCAGCTGGGAACAAAAACAGTTAAAATTGTTTTTAAAATGTGTTTTGGCAAATACTACTTGGATTTCCCCCTGGGAAATCTGGGAGCCCTAAGAAACAATCCAGTGACTACTAACTGTACTGTGGTGAGAGCATGCAGCCCCTTATTTTTTCCTTATTGCCCAGTACACTGCCCAAGAGGAAATTGTAAAGATTAGCCAATCTTGAAATAAAAATATACTTTCTCTTAGTTCCTTTTCCTTAAATAAACATGTTTTCCAAACAGGTAAATCACTAACTTGAATAGTCTGTAATGAGAAGGGACATGAGACATTGTTAAACACCAGGTCACAAGTGGTAAGCTTTTCAGTAGTTCTTTCTGCATTTTGAAGAGTTAAATGAACCCCGTTTGCCGCACTCTGATTAAAATGCTATGGTACATAAATTAACTGTGGCAGATAGTGTAATTATGTGAAGCTATGTTAATCTTATTCTAACCTCAAGCTATCTATACCTTTAAAAAGTGATAGATTTTACAGGTAGGAACATCTATACTAATCAGGTTATCTGCCAGGATTTGGCCATCCTCCAAAAACAATTGAAAACCAAAGGAATTCTGTTAAATTGAATAGAGCTGTGCAGATTTACACCTCTGGAGAAACCAAACTATGTTCTTAGCATTGGAAAGTTGGTAGATTTCCTCAGAGCTGTTAATCATGTGAGCAAGTTTACAATGCCGATTTTTATTCCATTTTTTTATGCGTTTTCACATTCAAAGCAG